TTTTTTTTTTTTTTTTTTTTGCAGAACCAGGGATTGATTGAACTCAGGCCCTTGTGCTTGCCAGGCAAGCACTTATTCTACTGAGCCATTCCACGGCCACATACAGCATTTTTAAGCAGATGAAAAAACTTAAAACATGTATTTTATGTATGACACAAGAATATTGTAAGAAATTCATATTTTAGTATCAATAAATAAACATTACTTTTGTGCTACAAAGGCAGAGAACTATTACAGAGTAGAGACAAAGAAGACTTGAGAATTTAAGTGTAGTAATGTAGCTGGGCACGGTGGCACAGGCCTATACTCTTCTGGGTCAGGAGCAGGAGAATTGCAAGTTTGAACCCAACCTCAGAAATTTAGCAGTTTAGTGAGATTGGGGTTTTTTTGGTTTTTTTAATGGGCTCGGCTATATTTCAGTTTTCAATCTTCATTATCAGGAAAAAAACAGACAAACCAAAGAAAACAACAGACAAACCATCCAGTGGCCCAAATTGGGTGTGAGGACAGAAAAAAGACCTAGAAGAAATATAAAGAAAATAGTTTAGAATAATAAAGTATTGGGCCAACCTGATAGCTCAAAGGATTAAAGCACCTGCTTAGGCAGAGCTCAGTGGCCGGGGTTTGATCCCCGCATGCAGTGCCGCCCTGCCCCGGGGCACACTGAAATGGCAATTGAAACTGGGCGTGATGGTGTGCCCCTGTAACTCCAGCCCTTGGGAGGCTGAAAACAGGAGAATCACTACAAGTCCAATCTATGTAGTGAGACCCTGTAGACCCTAGATCCCCTCTACTAAATGTAATTAATAATATAATAGTAATAATAATACTGTGGTGATATTGGGTTTATTCGTTTTGCAAATATACTATAGTAATATATGTTTTTCCTGTATACTTAAAATTATTTTATAGTAAGAAGTTTATGTGTGAAACAGTGCTGAAGGGGTCAAGGATATGGCTCAGCAGCACAGTGTCCTCCTAGCAAGCACAATGGCCTGAGTTTGATTGCAGGTACAAAAAAACAGGGATGAGGAAGGGCACAGTGGCACACACTTGTAATTGCAGCACTCAGGAAGCTGAAACAGGAGGATTATTGCAAGTTCAAGACCAGCCTGAGCTACATAGTGAGTTCAAGACTAGCCCGAATGACATAGTGAGACTGTCTGAAAAAAAAAAAAAAACAAAACACACAGACAGACAGACAGATGAGGCTTCCTCACCACACATTGCATTTAGAAAGCCATTGTAGGAAGGCTATTTTAATGTTATTCTTTCATATAAAGGCAATGATATGGATAATTTTAAAGAGGGTATTGTATTTGTTAACTGTTTTCAGTGAAAAATGTTTTGAGCAGTAGTTTCTTGATTTGTTAAATTTATTTATTTGTTTATTTATTTATTTGAGACATGTTCTCACTATGTACTTCAGGCTGGCCGTGCACTATGTAGCCCAGCCTGGCCTTGACTCAAAGCAGTCCTCGTGCCACAGGCTCCCAAGTGTTACAGATGTGTGCCACCATGCCCAGCCCATTGATTTTAAATATTTAATAGCTTGTATAATCCACATCTGCAAAAACAGTGAAGTACCATAGAGTTAGCCTTAGGCTCTAGCACAGTAGTCAGTGTACACAGTTACAGGGTTTCTGCTGAGGTAGTGCCTCCTGGACTTTTCTCACTCTTGGCTTTTACATTGACATGTTTAGATATTTTAGTTTATCCCATTACTAACCAATGTTTATTCTCAAAATTAGTTATAGCTTACCACATAGCCATAAAATGTGGGATTTGGAGTCAGAAAGAATGTTTGAGTCCCTTTTCCTTGCTTTGTTATCTAGAATGAACTACCTTGTTTTTAAAAGCCTGATACTGTTTTTCTTTAGACTGTTCATCTATATTAGAGGATAAATAAGAAAGCACTTTGTAACATCATGAAAGTGTTTGTTGTTGGTTTCATCTGCCTGGATACTAGAATACCT